ATAATGAACAGTAGTGTACCCACTGAACAGGCTTAGCAAATGGTAACGTTTGCTTCAGGTCTTTCTTTTTTTTTTTTAAAGAAATATGGTAGCGTTTTCTGAAAGTCAGGTGTAGCCCCCTCAAACATGTTCTTATATTTTGTAACCTTATACATATGGAATTATAAATAGTACTGTTTTGAGTTTTATTTAGATGTTATATTGCACACGTTGTTCCACACTTGCTTTTTTTGATATGTGTCTTTGATCATCTTTTCCAGTTTTTATCTTTTTTAAGCTAATGCAAATTATGTTGATGTCAAGCCCCAGGAGTTTGACAGAGTGGATGCTGCCAGAGAGGGGCCAAGGCATTATTCATGTTGAACAGAAAGTCTGTCTATCTTTCCTGTTCAGGTCAGAATTCCCAAGTAGAAAACTGGATTCTCCTGATCTTGTTGCAGACTTCGCTTTTAATAAGTTAAGGTGGTATGAAGTGAAATAGGCTGTCTGATCTTGTGGCTTTTTGGAATGCCTTTTTTGGCTGTTTTGGAAGAACTGAAAATAATACCCTCTTTTCAGGTATTGTCTGGTTTAATAGACTGCAGGATGTATCTTTCCAAGATGGACACATTTAGGCTTATTTACACTGTTAGGCCTGTTGATGGCTTTTCAGTATTAGGTAACAAAAGAGGAGTGTCAGTTCAGTTAACCAGTGACTTCAGAAGGAAAGGCCTGTTAGGCTTTTCTTTTAGGTTGTACTTTTCTAAAGTCCACAGATGGACAGAAGCTAATTTATCTTATTTTATCATAGACTTATAAAATGAATGAAATGAAGTGGTGGCTAAATGAAATTTGACATTCTTTTTCTGGTTTCTTGAATTTTGCTGTTTGGACTTCTATAATTCAAACTCTGATTAAATAAATCCAGGAATTATATACATTTAGATAACTCAGGCACCAAGTGGATTTGAATGATGCTGTATCCTTTGATGTTTACTCTCTCACTATCCACATTTAGGGATGGAAAAGATTTGGGTAGTGAGGGATGCTTGTGTGAGTACCAGACCAACTCGCTGCTGTAGAATGTTCTTGTATAAGCAGTCAAGCAATCAGTAAAGCAAGTTTTTCGTTGTTGAATTGCTCTAGTTCTTAGAGAGTTCTTTTTATATTGACTTGAAATATTCTTCCCTAGTTAAATTTTTTCCGTTGTTCCCAGTTCTTTCAGATGCCTCACGGAATGCACTTGCTCCCTTTATTTATAATCTTACTCTTCACAGTCCTTGTACTTAGCCTTCGTCAAGCTGATCGTCCCTAAGGTTTTGCAGCCTTCCATCACCAAGCCTCTTCTGGATACTGGCCTCTGGCTCTTCCCAAGTGGTCTGGCTAGCACCACAGTCTCCCCCAGCTCTTAGCTCCTGAGAGTAGGTGCTCAGTCCTCTGACTCCCTAGGCACTGGCCTTGTGTCTTGCACCTGGTGCCTGGTCTCAGTTGGCGCTCAGCCTGCCTGACACGCTCAGAGGGCCCCCTCTCCCTGTAGCACAGCCAGGCTGTCCCTTGCCCTTTTCGCTTTACCCCAGGCCCCATCCCTGCCTTTCTGGGCTCAGCCTGCCTGACACGCTCAGAGGGCCCCCTCTCCCTGCAGCACAGCCAGGCTGTCCCTTGCCCTTTTCGCTTTACCCCAGGCCCCATCCCTGCCTTTCTGGGAACTATTCATCTGTAGTATAATGGGGACAGATTATATGAAAATTTCCTTTCTATAACTGTGTGCCTTAAGTTCTATAGAATATTAATATTTAGTAAATATGTCCATTTAAACATGTTTAAAATAGGTGGAAATTTTTGCCTTTTTTTGGCAAGCATTAAACTAATATTGTTGGTAGAGATTATATTGATTTATTTAATATTCAAATCAAAATTTTCAAGGCTATAATTTTGGGGTAACACTAGAAAGTCATACATCAGCACTCATCTGCATTATATAATTTTTTTAAACTTACTTTATTCTTTTGTTTAATATATGCCAAGTAATAAATGAGCATTTGTGAGATTGGGCTAAGAGTGGTGGCTGGGGTATAGCTGACTGTAGTTCTCAGTAGAGGCTCTAGTTTAACACCCTTCCTTTTTAAAATTTATCTTATTTTAATTTACAACAAAAGCTGGACAGCTTCATACTGGTGTTGTGGGTCATTCAAGGAAGTAGGTAACTGAAGAGCACTTCTTATGTACTAGGGTAAAAAGTCAGCATAGCACAGCTGGGGGACTGCAGTGTGTGTTTCTTTTTATTCTTAAAGAAGTCCTTAGTATTTAAAAGATATTTTTAAAATTGTGAAAATATTTTTCATATAGTAATTAAACATTTTTTCTGCATTTTTTTCTCCTGTCTTTGCCTGTCTTCAGTTTGCATACTTTTGTAACCAAAGCCTACCTCTTCAGTAAGTGTGTGCGAAAGGAGGACGATGAGAAACTGGTGGTGTTGCTCTCCACTCTGAGCCCAGTGTCTCTTCTGAGAAAGATGCTCTTGTCATAGAGCAGACATGGTTCTGCTCAGCTGCACTGGGTATGCAGAACAAGAGCTAATTTAGAAGGCGTACAGTCCACAGAGGCAGGCCCTGGGTTATTAGGCATTTCTGCAGCCTTCAGAAAAATGCAGACAAATTAATTCACTTATTGGACTAAGTTGGGATAGAATAGTGACTTGCTCTGTGAATTCACAAAGGTTTATTTGAGGTCAGTGATTGCATTGTGATTTTAGAAAATATTCTTTCCTTGGAAATCTTTGGTTTTATGCTAAAATATAGTTTTTGTTTTCTTAAAGGAAAGTTTGTACTTTTCAGGAAGTTTTTAGCATGTGATGGCCAAAAATAGAACAAAACGATGATTATCTTCACTTCAGTGCTGCTGCTAGACAATTGATGAATCCAGCCTTTCATTTTTATTATTCAGAAGTTAGGTATGGAAGTTCAGATACAAGAGATTGTAAATTAGACTTTTTTTTTTTACAGTGATTTAAATTACAGTATTAGAGCTTGAATGGATTTTATAATATTCTTTGGTCCAAATCTGAATATGACTCAGAATGATCCAAGAATGGGCCTTTGTCAATTCTAGTGACTATTATCTCACAGTCAGAAGTACAGATCTAGTGGACTTATTGTTTGATTGGGAACCTCTCCACGTGTGTGGCTTGTGCATACATGTGGGGTGTGTGAGTGTGCGTGTGCATGTTGCGTGTGTGTGTGCATGTTGCGTGTGTGTGTGACTCTGCCTGTGAGCACACACATGCCAGTCTCACTGTTTATTGTACTGCAGTTTTCTCTATTCACCACAAAGATGGAAGCTGTGCTAAGATTTTCTTACAATGAGAGCTGGGATCAAAAGCCTATGGCATTTCAGAAATTGAGAGCTGAAGGCTCTAAGAGATAGGAACTTCAGACAGATTGTAGCTTGTGAGGTTCCTGGATCCTCATCTTGGTGGGCAGAATCGAGCAGCAGCCTGTGCTTCATTCCCAGCCTCCATGGACTGTGTCTTGGCTCTCAGGAGGCTGAGGCCAAGGGCTGTGCGCACTCCAGGCTTTGCTGTGACTTGTGTTGGTTCAAGATGCCTCTTCTCAGCTCAGCAATGGGAGTTTGCCATCGGAGGGTTTGGGGCATTTTTTGTATTTATTTTACCAAAGAGGCTGTGAGAGATGGTAGTTTGTGGTTGTGATGGGTTGTGTTCTTCTTGCCTAGTGTTCAGATTCAGGGGCTGGAGAAGCATGCCTCCTGCTTAAGGAGGAGGTTGGAGTTCAGGGAGATCTAGGCTTGGTTTCATTCCATTTTTAACAAAAGTATAAGGGAGAGATGGTGCAGCTGCAAGGGTTATCGGGTCTGTTGTGTCCCTCACAGGTTTTCTGTTTTCTCTGCCTCTCTGGCAGCCTGAGTCTTTACACCACCCTCTTGGATCTCAAAGCATCCCCAGGCCTCGTCCTGCGACCTAACTCCATCGTAAGCTCCCGGTACCTGAGTGTGGGGCGGGGGAATGCAGCTCTGAGGGTCTGCATACTGTGGTCATCACGTTTCCTTCTGTGCTATTTTGAGGTGTTGTTGACATCGGGCCACCTTCAGTCCTACTTTTCACAGGGACAGGCCTGAACTGCCGTTTGTGTGAAGCACCATCTGTGCACTAGGGTCACTTCTGTTGGTCGACAGGGCCCCGTAGAACCTGAAGTGTTGAGGCCAGCTGAAGTATTGAGGAGTGGGAGTGCCAGGCCCAGCCTCCTGTCCCTGTTTCAGTCTGGCCCAGCTCCTCATCTTGCTGCTGGCTCTTAGCCATTCCTCCATGTGGCTTTCTGTTCCCAAATGGAATTCTTCGCTTTTACTAGTTAGCATGAGAATAATGAATAGCAAACGCCAGTGAACATAAGAACAGGTATATGAAATCATGTTTAAACAGGGCACAAAGTCCCAAATTTCTGATCCTGTATTGCATGTTAAAATGTGTAACCTAATAATGGTTTTGCTTAATAATTAAAAACAACCCAAAAGTATAGGAAACAACAACCAAACTTTTTATATTTAAAAACTGGCTAGCTAGCTAAGAACCTAATTTTAGTTGTGAAGTGGTTTAAATAGAAAAAATCTCTTGTTTTGTAATAGAAATGTAAGGGAAAGTGTTCTGTCCTTGTTTTGTCTCTTTAATACCTGCCAGGGCTCCTGGTTTTGCTGAGATCTCAGATCAGGAGCAGCAGTGAGCAGAGAGAGACTGAGTGGCAGGCACAGGGATAGGTGAGGCATTCGGGAAGTGCACAAAAGCAGAATTACTATCAAAGATTAAAATCCTAGCCTCAATGTGTAAAAGTGGTCATTACAAAATTATTTCCTAACATCGAAGATCAGTTTCTAAAGATCTCTGAGAAATGGGGCTGATGGTGATGTCGGCATCTGAGGAGGGTAAGACCCATGGGCTGGCCCCGAGGCTGTCCTGGGGAAAAGGCGTTCTGTTCACAGTTGTCTTGTTATCTCTTTCCGTCTTGTTGAAACAGCCAGACCCAGCCCATTTGGAATGCCCGGGATGATGCCACCCTGCGTTCCCCCCCAGATGCTCAACATTCCACAGACCTCTCTGCAAGCAAAGCCCGTGGTAAGGCCTTCCCTGCGCCAGGTGGTGTGGTGGCATGGGCGCTTCACGTGCCTTATGTCTTAATGAATGCTAAAATAATTTCCTTAACTCTTGAGTTGACATCTGGACTAGATGCCAGAACTAGTTTGTTGAACTAAAGATTAACCAGAAGAGGCAGCAAATACCTGCGCTATATCCTGCGGCTGTGCACGTGACCTGTGCCCTTTGCTTCAGGCCCCACAGGTGCCCAGCCCAGGGGGCGCCCCAGGCCAGGGTCCATACCCCTACAGCCTCGCTGAGCCGGCTCTCACATTGGACAGCAGCAGGAAGAATTTGACAGAGCAGAACAGCTACAGCAACATTCCTCACGAAGGGAAGCACACGCCACTATATGAGCGGTCCTCACCCATCAGCCCAGCCCAGGGCGGTAGCCCCAATCACGTGGATTCTGCCTACTTCCCTGGCTCTTCTACATCATCCTCTTCAGACAACGACGAAGGCAGTGGAGGGGCTACAAAGTGAGTGGGCGTGGGTGGCTGAGCCCTCCCCAGGTGCGTGCTGACTTGGGGAAGCTGCCACATGGGTGTTTTACTGAAAGATGCAGTTGACTGCAGGTAGGTGATAGTCACTCTGCACTCAGACCGGGGTTCTTTGGACTTGGAGGAGAGAGGAGATTGGACATGTTCTATGAGGCTTCACAATTTAAAATCTGCCCCTCCTAGCCCTGGGCCATAGGAAACTTCTGGGGAGGAATTTGACAGGAACTGGTTTGTGTGATAACCAAAACATTGGGGATTTATTTGGTGTGGTGCCAGCTCTTCTTCACACACACAAACCCGCAACACCCCCACCCCCACCCCCCCAAC